GATTTTGTGCGTGTCGGCCGACCCCCGCTTGCCAGTCCCCCGGCCACCCACCACCCGCCAACCTTCAAAGCCGCGTGCGTGTGATTCATCGCCGCTGCCGCCACTTCTCGTCCCCTTCGCGACGCCCCGCCGATGCGTTCTCTACTTCTCTCGCCTTCACGTCGACGACGCCGCCGCGCGATCAATTTCTCCAGGCGATAATATCACTGGACAGACGATCCTCCGGCGGCGGTCGCTTGTTTTTCTCAAAGCTCGATAGTTATATTTCATATCCTCATGCACAGCGATCTGCTGCGGCGATAAAAAGTCCGTTTTGAATTGATTTTCGAGGTTTTCAAGCGATTCGAGGGTCAATAATTTTTTTTAAATTTTGAGATGCACAATTTCCCAATCGCCATGTTTACTACATTAATTTCGAATAATTGATTAGTAGATGCACTGTCCGCCACTGACCGCCGACTCAAGTAGCCGAACGAAACGACCCTGTACCTATCATTATCACATAGATTTATCTTACAACCGTTTTTCTTGCACTATAATATTTTAGTATTTTATAATAAATATAGCTTGCCCCAGAGTTTGAAGGTTCCGACGTCAAACGGCGGCGAGCGCATTTCCGAGTTTACTGCCGAGCGGAGTTGCATGTGATGCGCGCTCGATAATATATATTTATAAGCAGTTCTTTGATGTTCAATCTCTGCATTTTGTTTTCGTTTATTTTCTGATATTTATTTTGCTCGTCTGACGTCGTTGTTTTCGTTACTCGTTCACCCGTTCAATAAAATAATACTACGTAGCGCTGGTAGCAAAACATACATATAATAATATACTGCATCATGTGCTTTGCAATAATTGAGTTCTAATTTACGGACCCGCTTAATTCGTTTAAAAAGTTTTTTTTTCGTCCCATATTATTGTTAATTATTATATGCTATAATATGTTGATGTCAGTGTAGCCGTATTATAGTGTACTCGCGACGACAATAATTATAATAATATAATATCCATAACGAAAGTAAATTTATGTCTGATATCCATATCTATTTTCTAGCTTATATTATTTTATCGTTTGTGAGACTATATTATATAGTGCGGCACTATTAGTGCCATCGCGCCGTGAGATTGGATCAGATCAATAAACCTATATAATACACCGAAAATGATCATAATGTGTTTTCGTAAATATTGGATTATTATACTAAATATGATTTTGTATTAATAATAGTATAATAATTATTAAAATGTTGAAGTATGCGTTTTCGATGACGCGCAAAAACGAATTTCTCGAGTCACCGGCCCGTGCGAATAGACTGCTTCCGCGCGCTTGTAGTTTGCATGCACAACATTTTCGCCGTAAACCGTTCCGGCGGCACTAGATTCGATATACATATATTTATTTATTTTTTCGTACACAAGCGCACAGCTAGGGGTTGATGTACAGCATATATATATATAAATACGAGCATTTTATTCGTCGGGTGTACGTATGCGCGCGCACGTCCCCGTGATGTTCAGGCGGTGTTTTGCCGTTTGCATTCGTCTACGCACCGCGTTTTCGGCGCTAGGGTAGGATGAGTCACGGCCACTACTATGTACGTGAATATGAATTTGAACTTGAGAAACAACGCCACCGTCGTAATTATATTTTGCCGGTCAACATCGGGATCCAGTGGAATATTGTGGGTATAGTGTGATTTGTAGTGAACGTTTATATTATGTATATAATTATGGATTCACAACTATATTTTTCACAACATTTATATACATAGGTTCTCGTCGACTTTCAATGTTTGTAAATTACCTTTGGTATTTCACTTGGGTATAATATATAACTTGATATGGTAAGTCTAGGAATCAAGTTAGGTAAATATTTTATGCGTAGTACCTATAGACTATTGACATTTTTTTTTAGCAATTACCTACTGATGCCGAATACGGAATAAGGGAATAAATCTGAAAATCACGATTTGGCGGAGATAAATGCGTATTACGTACATAACCTGCTAAAGGTCTCCGATTTGAATGAAAGTACAAAACAGAGTGTAGTTTTTAAAGGCATTGCAACAAACCATACATATATTTACACATTTAGGTTACATTATAAAATACTATAACGGTGTCGCATTCGGTGAGACGACGTTATGTATATGTTCTATTACTTAGATCGCGCTCAAGTACGTATACGTACAGAGGGGTTTATTCCAAAGAAATCGACTGCAACCCGCACGCGAATAATAAACGATTATTTTCCTCCTGTACTCGTGTCCTTCATCACTCAACTACTACTACTTCTACTACTACTATTACTACTACTACTACTATACTACTACTACTACTACTTTTTTTTTTTTTTTTTTTTTTTATCTTGGTATCGTCGAACCGGGGGAGAACTGCCTATGCTTTGCATTCCCGCCGGTCCGCCATCGTTTATTAGCTTAAATTNTTATCTTGGTATCGTCGAACCGGGGGAGAACTGCCTATGCTTTGCATTCCCGCCGGTCCGCCATCGTTTATTAGCTTAAATTACAATTTTACATTACAGCATGCTTAACGTGATTTACAATAATACTACAGTTATTAGCTCAATATATACATTACAGACTTTACATACAGGTGAATTATACTAAACATTTGCCATAACATATACATAGATGATTTTAATTTCCTGGTCGTAGCTTATCCTTTTCTCAGGCCGGCTAGCCAGCCCGCCGCCTTTGTAGTCACGAACTATGGTCTATTGGCGTATCTCTGGGACTCCTCCTCCTCCTTGATGCATAGAATTTTCTTGACGTACCGTTCAACTGCTTCCCAATTCTCCCGACTATTAAGCATGATGGGTATGATTGACTCTGGTGTGACGCCCTCTCCTACAATAGCCTCGAGTTCCGTGAGTCTTCTAGACCATCGCCCACATCTGAAGAACGTATGTTCTACGTCGTCTTCCAGGGCTCCACAAGATAGACATTCTGGGCTCTCCACCAGTGTAGATCTGGGTAGAAGGTAGCTCTGGAAGCAGCCATGCCCCGTAAGAAACTGCGTCATATGATAGTTTATCGTGCCGTGTGTTCGTGTTTTACTACTACTACTACTACTACTATTACTACTACTACTATTACTACTACTACTACTACTACTTCTGCTGATATCAATATTACTACTATCCTACTCTAATTACTGTTACTATTTGGTATTTACTACTAAACTATTACTCCAGCCGGCATAAGGCGGGTTCAGTCGAGTCATATATTTACGCGCGCTGGTCGTGAATGTATATAGTACAATAATTATATTATCGCGCGGCAGATGGGTGCCAGATGTCAATATATACACTGCACATATATTATTACATACACATATATTACACACGATGTACGTAAACCCGTGCGTATACCTATATATATATGCGCGTACATGTATATAATAAATATATAATATAAAACACGTATGATAAATTATATACATTTTATTATATATATATGCACAACATTACGTATGTACAGTCGTGTATATACATATTACGCGATCTAGACTGACATATGCGACGACGACGGCAGTAGACGCTCGATGACCTTACCGTAACGCAATATAATATACATGGTATATAGACGTCGTCTGCTGCCTGCACAGGACACGTGAAAAACGGTCCAAAATTAGATTGTACACGGTCTTGTGCGGTGCGTGTGCGCGAGAGTTGCACTTTCGCGCACCCCAACGACGCAACGATTGGACGCAATATACACGGGTGGGCTAAACGCACAGCATCGCCTATACAATATATTTACCTATTTTGATCATACGATAGGTAGGTATATAAATATAATACACTTTGTACACTTAACAATAATAAATCCAGTAAATATATATCATGTGCACTCGTTTTGGGTTTCCGTCTGCCGTCCGGCAACGGTACGGGGCTTACGCGATATGTTGATTTAACTCACAATGATATGTATATATATCTATTTGACACACATTTTATTATATTATATAATATACATACAGTATGTACAGTACATTACACATATGCTGTTAAGCGAATATTTGATATTTTATGGCAATCACGTATGATATTAGGTATTGTAATAAATAAAAACTGATATTTTATAAACGCGGTAGAGATGGATGAATATTATTCTACATCGTGATCGCCTCAGTAACCCATTTACAATGATAACGACAGCCCACTGATGTACTATTATGTATTTATCTATACTATAAATGTATACTATTATAATTTATAACCTGGCAGAAGAAATAAATAAGAGAAAAAATGGAACTTTTATTTTCTATTCAATTATAGAACGAACGAGTTATAAAAATTATTTTGACGTTGAATTAATTTTAATTCTTATTGAAAACATATACTTATACTCAAATATATATTTTTTCAATTTCTCGATAAAGTGAACACGGAGAGTTGCAATATACCTATATAAGTACTATTAAATGCAAATATATAAATGCGGCTCCACGATCAATGATATATTTGTTTTATTTGTGACTTCCACTCTAAAATATACAAAATAATTCGTGATAATATGGTAGTTTCATCGAGATGTATTTGTACTCGGATACCTATACCGGCTACGACTGGTTCCGTGCAGCCGCAGCGTGCACCCGATTTAATAATTGACTCGTCGTCCGTCAAACGGTAGACCTTCCCTCTGATCAGCTTCACAAACAAAATATTAAATTGTCTTTGATTTAAATCAATTGCAGATTGATCGAATAAAATAATATTCCCATTCCCAGCTGTGGATAGTATTATACAGACTAATGAACGTCAGTAGTTTATTATATATTATTATTTATATAGATTATGACCGTACCTATTTATTTTGTTTTGTGTTTGAAGTATAGGAACCTACACCTACCTATTCAATGCACAACTGCCTCAAACTAAAGTCCATACATTACTATAATTTATGTTTTATTTTGTTTTATTTTTAAAACTAATTTTTGTTTTCGTTTATTTAAATTTTTAAACTATATTGTTTCAGCACCTCCTATACCTGACCAACGAATCCTATCCTCGAGGGGAAAATAGAAGAGGGCGTGGAAAAGGAAGCCGAGCGGTATGTTTATTTTTTATTTTGTTTTGTTTTTTATTTTTTATTTATCATTTTTATGGTGCTTTGGGGTTTTCAATGATTAATCCCCAATTTCCTATTATATGATATAATATATACTTCGAATACCGATTTTTTGTCCATGGTTTGAGCTAAATAAGACAAAAACGTATTTAAATCGTAATTAAAATTAAATAAATTTAAACTTATTAAAAAAAAAAACGAAATATCAATATTAAAAACAAACGAAAACCGCATATTTAGTATTTATTGCTGTCGGTGGTCGTGTACCGGCATCTAGTGCATTGAGTAGTAACTATAGATGTCAGGGATGGTTTTTAATGACTAATGTAGCACAGAAATAGAAATAGAAAACAATAATGCAATTATAGAAATATCGTCGGTTTATACTCATAAAGGTATAATATAGTATTATTCTAGTGGTGTCATTGCCAAGAGTCAGCTGTAACACAACTACACACGTATAGCTTTTCCGATCGATTTTCGAGTAGTATGCACATGTACACAATATACATGATGTTAATTTCGTATAACATTACACTTACCTACTATACCGTTGATCTAAATGTATGTTGTACATGCGTATATTCTCATAAAAAATAACTTGTAACCGATGCGGGTAGACGGAAAATTACAGTGGCACACTGGCCTACTGGCCCACTCTGTGTAGGCAATAGGTAGCAGGTAGGTACATTATTAGGTACTGCGCAGCAGATCCAAGACTGTAGATTTCGATACCCGTGCTGAATTTATCTTTTAAAATGGCTCAAATAGAATACGCTTGGCCATGGATATGTTATACTGCAAATTACAATGCACATTATTCAAATGATAAGCATTTTCCTTTGTCTCCATATTCAGCACTGTATTTCAAGAAATAAAATGAAATACATCCGTTTTGAAGTATAAATTTATAAATCTGAAAATGATACAATGCATTTTATTAATTAAATATATTATTATGATATTGCATATTATGACAGTATTTCTTTTACAACTGTGAGGAGATGACGTCCTTTAAAAATCGAGTGAAATGTGAGAATAAAAAATAAATTAAAGGGCCGATTTCTTTTTGTGACTATTGGATGGTCGTTGTTCGCGCAGCTGCATCATTTCGTCAAAGCCATTTCGGCGGTAAACGGGCAAACGAACTGACGATTTAGATGTTGTATCTAGGTCGGGGGCGAAACGTCGGCGGGCATTCAGGGTTAAGGTCTCTCCGCCGACGGGCCGGTGTGTGTACAAAGGCCCGCGGGATTTTCGGAGGGGGGGCCAACACTCGTCTGCGTACATAACACAAACGAGGTTATTAGGCAAAATCCTTCTCCACCATGGTTGCTGGCTGCGTGCGAGGGGGTTAAAGGGCACTTTGTTGTTGTCGTCGTGGTTGTCGCCTCCGCTTCAGCCTGCACCACCACCGACTACGCCTGCACTGCCGCTATATGCATCCACTGCTACCGCCGCCGGTGTTTTCAATAGGGACAGAAAAACCCGCCCCTCACCGGTCGTCGTTTCCGTGGGGTAGGACAGTTTATGACTTTTTCGAAAAAGGGGTGGCTGCTGTGTCGTCGCCGTCGTCACCACATAGCGGTTTTGACGAGCGCGCCGACCCAGTGCGATGCAGGTAGATTATGTGTTTCGCGGTTGTCAACCACCGCCGAAGCCTTCACAAGTTCCCCTAGCTATCTATATACGTATACACATGTATGTATTAATAATAGATTTTGTGTATACATTATTATGTACCGTCAGTATATAGCGCGTATTATAAACTGGTGACCGGTGAACACAAAGCACTGCAAACACGGATGCCCTCTCGCGTGGTTACCATGGTACCAATAGCTTCTACCGACAATGTTAAATTTATTCTCTAACGTCGTGAAACCATCGGAGGGTTGGTCGCGGTTGGCCAAGGAAGACTCATCGTGTCGCAGCGAATCGATCGGTCTACGATTGTATGTACAGTCTGCGTCAGATGACGACGTCCGGGTGCGGCTTTCGCATGCGTTATTTATTATTTCACAATATCCTGGCCACCCCTAGATTGATTAGGAGTGGGGGTGGCTGGCGGATGGTGAGGTGCGAGAACTGTATGTGTATTCATCCCGACCGCTGGTTCCACCCTCTTATTTGTAGTAATTGCCCTGAACACACGTTTTTGCCTCGCGGTAATTACGCTGGCACACGCGAAACTCCATTACGTGTACAAACGTCCGCTGAGGACGGACTCGGAGGGTAGATGGGCACCCCTCACCCGAAAAAACTAATCACTCGTTTTGTGTACACGATAACGTAATTGAATAATTCGGTGGCGTACGTGAAATAGGTGTGACGTTAGGGTTTGTATTATTTTTTTTCGCTATAAAATACGCTTTAGCGATCTTCCCTCGTACCTAGACGCGATAATTTATTAATATAATTACTATGTCGTAGGCCCGTGCGTAGCAAGTCCATTGATTGCTTCGAAAAATTTGATTGGTAACACTGCTGGGGCTCTATCGATCGATTTTTCGACCGAACATTTATGAGTACGCCGCGTTTTTGTTCGATACGCAACCTAACATACATTTTAGTACGTTGTCTTGTGTTTACGCACGACGCGTGGCGTTGGGAGAATCTAAAGGAAAAGAGTAGACAAATATATTCTTCTATTATGTACAATAATACAATATATAATTTCACGAGACTGCGATGATATTTTAACGGAATGTTGGTTTTATTGGAAGTCAAATTTTGACAAATTTTCTGCAACACTTACTTCTTAGTACAATTTGAAGTTTTAATTTATGTGGTAGCAAATATCTACGCGACAACAAAATAGCTAAAAGGAATTAGACGTTCAGATATTTTATGTTTTTTTTTGTTGAATAGAATGCTTTCTTAATTGCTGTTAACTACAAAAACTGCAATATTTTTATTGACTCGTAAAATTTATTGTCGTTTTTATTTTGTTTTTAAATTTATTCGGCAACCTTTACGCACGTCCACGTTAAACTTGTTCTAGTTGTAACAATTAATTTCGTGTTTTATTTAAAACATAATATCATAATACACTGACCCTAGACCATATTAGTCGTCGAATTAAAAACAACGATAGTCGGTATCCGAAAGATAATTGACGCATGTTTGATTAATTCAAATGATCGAATAGTGAACAACGATTGGAGATTGACAAATGAGTCGATTAGAGGAGTACTACATAATATGATATTATTGTTTTTTTTTCAAACTATTCTGATGGAGTCAAATTCCATGGGTTTTATACAAAATGTCACTTTCGGGTATCGGAAAACTGGTACATCCGGTTATTTGATACATTTCGGAACATTGCACTTTCGTGTTTATAGTATTATATTGGTATATATTTTTTTTTTCACTCGCTGCGTTCGACGGCTTCTATAGCCTTATAGGTTATAATATTTTAGGCGATACTTGTTTCGACAGGATGTCACAACTGTTAACGGTATCCTTACAGAGAAGATGGCATAATGTATCGGCCACAAACATTTGGCTAGAAATACATCGTTATGGTACTAGAATTTATTTGGTTTTATCAACAATAGTCTGTTAGAAGAACTATATTGGTCGTATTACGATAATGTTTCGTCTATAATCCATATAGTATATATTTCAATATTATGTATGTACCTAGGTATTCATTTGTAGCTAGAGCCATACATTATATTGTGTTTTAATGACATTTATAAATTATAATTTCGAGTTTGTCAATTATTAATGATTTTAAAATATCTTATAAAAGTTATTTTCGTAATCCAATTATTAAGTTTTAGAAACCTTAAATTTTAGTATGGTTTATGACAATAGTGAAAAGATAATTTGTTTGTATTTTGGTTGATTATTAAATGCCTTTTAGTGTGTCACTAGTAGGTACCATGGCATTACTAGTAATATGTGTTTACCTATTTATTTCAAAAATCGATTAGTTTAATGCTGAAGTCAATGGTGTTTGTGGTTAAAAAATAAAGGAGGTTAACGCCACCTGTACGTAATTTAATTATTAACGTAATTATATTTTATAAATCTATATCTATTTACCTACTACAATATCTGATTTAATATAAGGTATACCAATACATTACACCCGCAATATACCATTGTGATTTTATGTAAATTTCTATTCACTGAATATTTCTATTGCTAATATAAATATTACAATAGATTTCGACATAACATAGCCACATAGGTACCAATCTATTATCCTAAACAGATTGTAATAATTTTTGTTTTATTTGAAAAATAGATAAATCCATAATTGTTGTATATTGACTAATCTTACATACGACTAATTATTTTTTACTTTTCAATTTCTCCTTCTTTACTCTTCTAAAAACTTTTACAATTTTTTGCCATTGATACGAGTAACCATCTAGATTCTATGGGTGATAAAAGGACAGAATGAGACACATATACAATGTACATACCTAGATTTTTTACATATAAAATAATAACAACATTATTCAAATGATTTGTTGTTGTAATTATTATTTTGAATTTGTATTTACTTTTAATCAATCATTATTTAGTGACATTAATTATTTTTTTTTTTTAAGTATACGAGTAAAACTGCTCTATATGAAATCTAAAAAATGCTGTACATGTCATAGATCCATATGATTGGTTTTGAACTATTATCGAGAAAGACTGAACGTCACGTCCGTCATAAAATATTAAGATAAGTTGGTGTACTAAATGCTAATATGATGTGTTAATTACACATGGTCAGGCCAAACATGCGTTATGCTTTCGGCTATACTTAATCCTTACAGTTTTCGACATTTCAAAACATGTCAATAATATTATTCGATCGTTGGACACTCGTTTCACCACCGAACGTAATCAGGCATAATATATATCACGGCAGATCTGGTGAAGTGAAAAATCGCTTTAAGGGGTGGACGAGCAACAACAATTTTTAAGCTTGACTGAGACAGTCGTAAACTCATCAGAATGACAGAAAAAATATT